CACACAAAGGACCTGTGGTCACTGCAGTTTTGTAACTGAGACAACAGGACACCCATGAAGCAAATGGCATATTGCAGATTCCAGTTCATATCTATGAGTATAATCCTCATTCCATTAGTTCTAACTCCTCCCTTCAAGAAGTCTACACCCAAACCCATCGTGGCAGCACATGTCTGTAATAGCTGCACTCAGGAGATCCAAGCAGGAGAATCAGGAGTTCAAGGTCACCTTCATCTACCTAGGCAGTTTGAGACCAGCCTGGGATACATGAGCCCCTGTCTCAAAAACACAAGGAAAAGAAGTGAATGCCAGTGTTCATGAATAAAGTATGATGGAACACAACTATACCCATGCATTTGTCATCTGTGGCTGACCTAGAGGCTACAATAGTACAGCAGAGAAACCCTACTACCCACAAAGCCAAAAGTATTTATGACAGGTCCTTTCCAGAAAAGGCCTCCTGACCCCTGGGCTACACTCCAAGGTAGAATGTTCTGTATCTATTAGCCATTTTTTAAAGCACTTTCAGAGTTGAGCACAATGGAGACTAATATTTCCTTGGCCTCCAGTGTGGGGAGCTAGAGGTGATATACAGGTGTGTTCTTTTTAAGACTTAATGCCTACAAACTCAGACTTGAAAATGGATCAATTAAAAGGCAGTTATTTGCATAACAAAGTTTTCTTTTCATTTCATAAGGGCTTCTCCGCAGGGCTCCTTTGTAGAGTGAGTCTCTCTGATACATGCTAATACGATTCCATTTACAAATACTCTATTCAGAACAACTTTCCAAGAACCTTCCTATTGTGTACAGTGGGAATTAGCTGTAATCACCCCCAAGGCCCGCAGCAACATAAGGTTTCCTACTTCTGAAAAGTAATTGAGCTGACCTTTGAGTGTCTCCAAGAGGGTCTTTACCTGCTTTCACTGAGACTTCTACACGTAGTCCCAGCCCAACATAGCAAGACTTCAGTGACCCTATCTCAACATAATAACATCAGCAAATGTCAGTACTATGCAGCACGAAGTTATAATTTTATAGTTTTTCTAACCTTTTTTTTAAACCCTGAAACCAAAGTTCAAAATGGTAAACCTTATTTTACACTGTTCTCTTTTCCTACAGAAATAAATGAATAAAAATTACATTTGTGGCTAATGTTCTGATAAATATGTGATCAGCAGTATTTATAAAAGCAATCTCTCTATCTCTCTCTAATTGCAAGACATTATGCTGTGAATTACAACACAAACTGGGACAGGCATTCAGATTAGAGCTGTCCCCAGCAAAATAGGAAGTGGTATGGCTAATTCAATTTAGGACCGGCTTCCTCTTCTGTTGGGTCCTGAGCCTGAGTCTCGCTTAGCTTTGTGCTGTTATGCAATTGCTCCTTTTAAGAGAGACATAAAATGGAAACCTCGGCTATTCATAGACAATTTAGGAGGAGCTGAAATTGTTCAAGAAGTTTCTTGCCTGCTGCCATTTTGATGATAACTAGTTTTCTGAAACTGGCTTCTAGCTGGCATGGTGTTAAAGAACTGACTCGTGCCTTTTGTTTTCATCTTGTGGCGATGATGTCTTAAAAGTAGACAAACGTTCCTTATATATAACTTGAATATTCTCCAGGGTGATCTCCCCCCCCCCCAGTAAAAGTAAAAGCAGCTTACAAGGAAATTCAAGGGCAGAGAAGATCAGGCCAGGCCGGCAGGCATTCCTGTGTGGGTCACCCTGTGGTGAGGCTGATCTCTGTCTCGGGCTGCTAATGGATTATTCGTGAGAGAGCCGCAAAGGGCCTGTGGGAAGCAGACCTGGCATTAGAGCCCCACAAATGGCATCATCTGTGGGGTTCGGCTTGGAGGGAGGCTGCTGGAGGCGGCTGGCTGCCCCTGGAGGCTGCAGCTCCTCATGCTGTGAGGCAGGTGGCATTTCAGCCATTTCTAAAGCCGGTCCCTGGCAGGGAACGCATTGAGTCATCTGTGAGGATAGAGGAGTCTGGAAAAGGGTCTGTCTGTCTCTTTACCTCTCCCAGAGGTCAGGAGCACTGAAACTACAAACAACAGCATGAAGATTTTTTAAATTCAGGTCGTGATCTCCCCACCCCCTTCCCTTCCATCTCCCCTCATCCCCTTCATTGTCACTATCTAAGTTTTAATCTCCATCATGTATATAAATATATAGATATAAATTTGTTTCCCAGATGTAAAATGCAGTGATGACAGGTGCGGATTGTTAAACAAAATAAATAAATAAATAAAAACAAATCAATATTTATTGAATACGCTATATTGATAGTTCAATTTTCTTCTCCCCTAGTGGTCCCCTGTTAAACTTTTCCAAACTAACCAGCACTAATGAATATAAAAGAACCAAGATCTAAGGGTCTGAAGATGACATATTACTGTCCTCTCCTTCAAGAGGGATGGGAGGGTGTGCAGAGCCTGTTGACCCCAGTCAAAGCGCCCCTCCCCACCCTAAGCATCTCCCTCCTACCAAAGAGCAGCAACAGACTTTATCTCACAAATGGAAATGGGAGTGGATCTCACGAGGAACGGGCTGGTTTAATTGGCTTTTCAGAGCCAGAATTAATATTACAAGCTGGGGAGCTGTGTGATATGCTTGTACCTCTGGCTCCACCACCCTGGCAACCTTCCCTGGGGGAAGACAGAAAAGTGACACTATTCCGTAGCAATTTTACCTCTGTCTGGGCCTTCTCACCCAAGTGATTCACAGCTGCCGGGGCCCCAGCGCTCAGGCTAGATCTTCCGCAGCAGCTCAAGGTCACACCTGCAGCATGATTTTCTCACCTCTCACCCGCCGCAGTGACTTTCTAATGTATTCAGTATTTGCCTCCCCCCACCCCTTGTTTTCATTCTGCTTATTAAGATACATTTTCAAGGAACTGGGATCGTGGTTTTCAGGACCATTCACCTGACACCTGATCTCTTGAGGTGACCAGTGTCTACTGTGGATACCATGAGGGTGACCCACAAAAGTCCCATCCCCCTGCCAAGCAGAAGCAAGGCTTTAATTAGGAAAGGTTGAGTAGTGTGGTAATGGAGTCAATCCATGCGGCAAAAAAGCATTTAGCCTTAAGGAAGAAGGGCAGAGTACTCCTCCCTGCTCAGTGGGTTGACCTAGGCCACCAGTGTATCCGTGTTGCCACTGTGTGGCGATAAGTTGTGACTGGAAGGAGAGTGGAAGGCATTTTCCTTGGCTCCTGAGTGACAGTGACGCTCCTCCTCTCCCTCCCTCTCTGCCTTTGGAGATTGGTAACAGTCCCCTCACACACTGAGGGGGAAACAAAGCCGGTGTGAGAGCCAGCATCCCCAGCCCCTCCCTATCTATCACCCTGCCACGGTGGGCTCTAATCCGCCAAGGGCTCCCTGCTGTGCCCTGCCACCTGCTGCCACCTTCCATCTTGTTGAGGGGGATAGAAGCTTCTGAGGGAACTATTTGCAGCCCCAGTTTCCTGATCGCTGAAAGCCCACTAAGTCTGGGGGTTAACTTATTAACTCACCCAAAGGGCTTGAGAATTAGTGAAATTTTGCAACGTGTCAATGCCAAACCACAGCTTTCCAGACAGCTGCCCCGACAGTAAGCTGTCTTAGCGGAGGATCAGAGAGTGTGACAGTCCTGCTGATTAAGTTCCACCACAGTCAGTGAGAACAGTTTTCAGGAGACAGGCGACATTGTCTTTTTTTTTTTTTTTTTCTACTTCAGGCTGCCTCAGCTGGGGAGAGATTTGTCCCATAAAATTAGGATTATCATTATTATCTTGCTACAGATGCCATGTAGCCCAGGCTGGCCTCCAGTTCATTATGTAGCCAAGGATGACCTTGACCTTCTCATCCTCCTGCCTCTACCTCCTGAATTCCAGGAATACAGGGGTGCATTGCCATAGCTGGTTGGTTTATGTGATGCAGGGGATTCTTATGCATACTAGACAAGTACTCCATCAACTACCTCTCCAGCTAATAAAATTATTTTAAAACATACTCATGGGGCTGGAGAGGGGGCTCAGTGGTTAAGGGCACTGACTGCTCTTCCAGAGGACCCAGGTTCAATCTCCAGCACCCACATGGCAGTTTACAGCTGTCTGTAACTCCAGTTCCAGGGGATCCAACACTCTTACATGGACATACATACAGGGAAAACACCGATGCACATAAAATAAAAATAAATAAATCATTTAAAAACACAAATACTCTCTAGCTGTATTGTATATCATATTTGCAACTATTATTTCACAACTTGATTCACTGAATATTAAGATTTTTCATTGTAAAGATGAGGAAATGGATTCTGGGGGGAGTTAATTACTTAGCCAAGATCAAACTAACACACACACACACATACACACACCCGTTGGGTTATATCACACTGTTAAGATAAGCTATCAGACACGTGAGTTTCCCAGCTCAAAAAACGAAATGCATCCTACTGTCAAACTGGGCAGAAGGACGCTGAGTTCCCCATCGGCCAATACTGTCTAATTCTCTTAAATGATTCAGATGTAAAAGGGAAAATGGCATCTGTCTAATTAACACTGCCTGGTTAAATATAGCTGCCAAGGGACAGCCGAGGGACAGTGTTTACTGAGCGGTCTTTCTAGCCTCCTGGGCCTCAAGTTCCAGTTGATAGCAAGCCTTCTGTCCTTATCAGTGAGAAACAGAGATGCCCCCCAGAAGCAGCAGTGGCCACAGCAGGCCAAAGGGAGCTGGAGGGAGAGGGGCTGGGCTGTCGCTGGCTATAGTTCCTTCTCCTGGTGTCTAGAGACTCAGAGAATGGTTCTGGGAAACCGACCTGGAAGGCTGTAGCAGTTCTTGCTGCAAACATGAGCCCTGGCCCTACATGGGCCTCTCTGCTGCCTGAGCCTAGCTCTCCAGCCTGCAGACATCCACTGGGCCGCCCTCCTGCCCACTGCTGAGCCTGCCAGGCACTGCCATCTGCTTTGCAACCCATCTCTGGTGGAAAGGCACAATGACCACATTGTTTCTCTTCCAGCTTCTTGTCAAGACATGGAAGCTATTGCCAAGTTTGATTTCATGGCCTCGGGTGAGGATGAACTGAGCTTTCACACTGGTGACATTCTGAAGGTAGGTGATGTGGGGTCCCAGGGGAACTAACTGTAAGGGACTGAGGTTCTCTGAGCCTGGCCACTGAGGCCACTGAACAACCTATGCCTTGGTCTCTGAGAGAATGTGCACAGTTCTTTTTCTCTTTCTCTTTTTTCTCTTAATCGTTTCTTTAAAGAGAGTTTCAAAACCAGATGTGAGAGCATACCTGTAATCCTAGCACTCAGGAGGTAGAGGCAGGAGGATTAAGAATTTAAGGCCACATTGTGAGTTTGGGATCAGTCTGGGCTACTTGAGACCCTATCTCAAAACAAAAACAAAACGGAGAGAAAGAGAGGGAGAAGTCTCAAAGTGTATTTCTAGGGTCACCTACTCACCACCCATTTATAGACAAATGCTACAGCTTTTTAGCCAATTCCAAGCCTTATCCCACTAGTACTGCCTGGAAGACACAGAGTTGGGAGACATGTGTAGGGCCTTTGCCATAGAGGACATAAGTGTTATGTCCCTCATCACAATAGCATCCCAGATTCCTGCTGGGCAAACAAAAGAGTCATTGTGTATATGTGCATGTGTGCGCACGTGCGCGTGCGTGCGTGCGTGCGTGTGTGTGTGTGTGTGTGTGTGTGTGTGTGTGTGTAGGTGTAGGTGTGTATGTGTGCATGTACACTTATGTACATATACATGCACATGTATATGCTTGTCCATGTACATGTATGCACATAAGTATAGAGTCCAGGAGTTGACATCAGGTGTCTTTCTCATTTGTTCTCCACCTTAATTGTTTGAAGCAGGATCTCTCACTGAACCTGAAGCTCTCCTATTTGGCTGGGGCAAGCTGATCAGTGAGTTCCAGGGTTCCACCTATCTCTACCCTCCTGTACTGGGATTGTAGACACATGCCTCTGCACACAGACTTTTTTCATGGGGCCTAGAGATCTGAACTTAGGACCTTATGTTTGCACAGTGGGCTATTTACCACCTGAACCCTCTTCCAGCCCCAGGGCAGCCAGTCTTAAGACACCTTGCTTTTGAGTACAGCCCAGTACAGTTCCATAAAAAGGTAAGTTCACATCCCCACCAAGCATTCCTCCTGAGCACCTATGTGATAGACACTGGGTTAGGTGACAGGAATTCAGAGTTGGCATAAGTAGGTCACTCTCCTTCTCCCTTCATGCCTGTGGTATGGAGTGGGAAACCCAGGCATCTAACGGGCTATTGTAGATGCTGCCCGTTCAGTGCTCAGGAACACAGGTGGGCGACATGAGATTCCACCTTGAAGGGTAGATAGCGTGGAAGACCGGTGATGTAAACATCAGGAACCATCAAACCCAGAGAGACGAAGGCAGAGCCAGGCTTCAGATGAAAAGGGTGTGGGTGGAGGTAGCCAGGGAAAGCCTGCAGACCTGAGGTAGCTAGACAGAGGCCATCACACCCAGCCACTAAGAGGCTCCTTAAAACTTGTTTTCAAGCCCTGCTTGAGTTATAGTGGCCACTTGCAGAGCTGAAGTGACCTTGGACTTGCACTTCAGAAGCCCATCTACATACTCCCTTGTGGTTCCCAGGAGATCATAAGCCTGTCCACAGGATATTCGGGAGCATGTGGTGACAGTGGACCCCTGTCTGACCTCGGGTCACCCTCCAAGAGCATCCCTCAGCCCTTGTCCTCAGCTGCCCAGGTGGACCTCTCACGTGTCTGCTGTCACCACGGCCGCCGCTGTTTCTTGCCACAGAGAGTTATGGGCTATACAAAGGCCCCTGCTGGAGTGTTAGAGGACAGCTTGGAAAGTGTCCACAGAGCACACGCATCTAAATAGATGGCTTCATTTGTCACTTAAACCCCCTGCCTCCCACACCCAGCTTGAAAGATCTAGTGATGCGGTTGACCCTGTAGTGCACCAAGTTTGAAATTTTATAAGCTAAAATACATCTAGGCTACTTACTGATTGAGGAAAAGGTGACTTTTACTGGGGTCACGGAGACATTTGTCATGTGATGAAAAGTCCCTCCCTCCCTCCCTCCTCCCTCCCTCCCTCCTCCCTACCTTGTCTATGGGGCACTGTGACCATTCAGATGTCAACCACATCCGAGCACCCACTGCTCCCGCCCTTATGTTGCTCACACACAGAGCCCAAATGCCTGCTCAAGCTCCCCTATCATCTGTTATACAGAAGAGTGGAAGGAAAACCGGAAACAGCTCTCTGCACAGGGTGCCCTCCCCTCCCTCTCTTTGCTCCAAGGCCTTTGAAACCTGCCCCTCACTTTGCTGTGTCCTGTTTGCTTCCTGTTGCTGTGTTAAACACCACGACCAAAAACAACGTGGGGAGGAGGAGGTTTGTTTGCTCTTCCTTATCAAAGTCCATCAGTAGGTGAAGTCAGGGCAAGAACTCAAATTAGGAACTGAAACACAGACCATGGAGGAATACTACTTTGCTTGTTTGGGTTTTTTGTTTTGGTTTTTGATTTTGGTTTTTGTTTTGGTTGTTTTGTTTTTGGTTTTTTGTTTTTGAGACAGGTTTTCACTGTTAGCTCCAGCTGTCCTGGAACTTGCTTTGTGGACCAGGCTGGCCTCATCCACCTGTCTCTGCCTCCCCGGTGCTGGGATTAAAGGCATGTGCCATCACTACTTTCTGATTCATGGCTTCCTCAGTTACCTTTGTTATATAAGGTAACCCACCTGTCTGGGGATGGCACTGTCCCCATTGGGCTGGATCCCCCACATCAATCATTAACGACGAAAATGTCCCCACAGACTTGTGTATGGTCCAATCTGATGGAGAAGTTTTCTCAATTTACATTTCCTCTTCCCAGATGATGCTAACTTGTGTTATGTTACCAAAAAAAAAAACAAAAAACAAAAAACAACAACAACAAAAAAAACTACCCAGCCCATGCTGCGACTTCCTTCATGTGACCAGAATGTTCTTCCAAAACACCTATGGAATGAGATTCTACTGACTACCCCTCTCCTGGAGCTCATTCCTGTGCTCCGCGGCACTCCTGACTCACACTCCCTCTGCCTCCCCATCATCCTTCTCCTCAGCTCTCCTCCTCTCCTAAGTTCTCCTACAGGTCGTGTTGGTGAGCACTCTCATCCTCTCTCTAAGCTGATACGTTCACCTCCCTGAAGCTCTACGCTTGGCCCTCAGATTCTCTTTCTTGCTTTGAAGTAACTCACACCCCTCTCTAGCTCTGTGGTAAAGATCCTCCAGTCTGTACCTTGCTCCCTCACTGACCTCTGCCTTGAACCCCAGAACCAGTTGTCTGTAGACTCCAGCCCCTGACACCAGGCTCGCACAACCCCCTATACCCACCTCACCCCAACGTCCATTCCTCTGTGTGTGACCACATCAAGGGTCGGTCAGCAACTCCCTTGCCAAATGTGGGGTGGTCAGAACTGCCGCCAGCTGAGTTTCTGCTGCAAGCTAGGACTGACTGGCACAGGGGCTGCATGTACCACTGCAGCATCTCAGCAAAACTAGGGGATTGCTTTCTCCACTCTGTAAATGTGAAACTGAGGCTGAGGAATTAAACCACATGTCAAGGCCACACAGGTGGAAGTGACTGAGTCAGGGCCTGGGTGGAGCCCTGTCTATTCCCTATGCACTATCTCTGTTCTAAATACATTTCTTTCTCCAAGTCCCCCAAGGGAGCCTCCTCTCCATAGTTAAAAAAAAAAAAGGGTGATGCTGGGAAAAAGAACACAGGCTTTGTAACCACATAAATATGGGTTCAGTTCCCAGCCTGTGAGTGGTGTGGCTTGGACCTAGACACCTGCCAGTTAGAGCATCAGTGTTTGCCTCTATGGAGGCATTGCCTACCCTGCAGAGCCCAGGAAAGTAATTAAAGGTAATGGCCCAGCCCAAAGCAGATACTGAACGAGCAGTGGCCGTGTTATCGTCAGCGCATGCCTTCCCGCTCTGTCTGCCTGCTCAGATGATCGCACAGCCCCCTTGACTGACCTTATTGCCTCCTGTCTCTTCCTCATTCGATCATTCTACATACTGGTCCCAGAAGGACTTTTCTAGAAGGCAAAGCAGGTGGTATCATTTCCTTGTTCAAAAGGAACAGTAAGTTACTTCTTATTAACGTTTGATGAATGAGTGAATGAATGAATGAGTGAATGAATGAATGAGTGAGTGCTTCCATCAGTGAGCTCCCTGAGAGCAGAGAGACTCCGGCTCAGCTTTGTGGCTTCTCAGCATCTAGCAGGAGTCACAACCCCGAACAGAGACCCAGTGCAGGACCTGGGAAATAGCATCTATGTGGCCACTTAGAATTCCATCAGAAAGCCAACCCTACCCACCTTTTCAAATTCTGCCCGTTGCAGTTGTAGTGGTAAAGAACAAAACACAGAGAGCCAATGACAGAGCTCTCATTTTGAATGGTGACGATGTGGCCCTTAGTGACCATGTCAATCACTCCCATCCTGAGGCAGAAAACACACCCAGGGATTACTGCAAACCGTTTCAAGGCCAGCCCTTGAGGGTCCTAAAAATTCAGTTTGAGGTGCTCAAGCTTAGCCTTCAGAGCTTAAGACTAAACAGCCTTCTTCATTAGAGCTGGGGTACCGGCCAGCGGTTCTCTCTGGCTTTTTCTCTGCATTCCTGGCTAGTACAGGAGAAGCTTACTAAGTGCTGACCTCTGTGGAATGGGAGACAAGATGGTGGATCGGGAACCTCTGCCGAGTAGTTTGATCCATGTTCTCTCAGGAAATACGCAGTTGGAAAGAACATTGGGAATCACACTTTTCATGTTCGTACCTGTAGCTACACAGGGCACAGATCTTCACTGGAATCTGGAATTTGCCAGCAGTTTTGAAAATCGGCTTTTGGCCCAGTTTGTTCCTACCTGTTTCTGTAATGCGTCCAAGCCGACCCCATTTCTTCCTACCGAGAGAGGCCTGAAAGCACCAGCTTAATCCCACACAATTAACTTCCCCTGTGCTTCAGCCTTCCCCTGCGAGGCTGAGAGCTCTACTTCCGTCAAATTTTACATTTTTCCCCAGCTGTACTTTTGGCCTTTCTCTTCCCACATCTAGCTTATTCTCAGGCCATGTAACTTAGAAAATTATTCTCGTAGGGAACATTTTAAGAAAGACGATACAGCAATTTAAGTATAGAACTTCGCAGGTTTGGGCTGAACTCCTTGCTCAGGTTTACATGATAGGTACAAGAGATAGGGGAAACTGAATCGATGGAGAGATGAGAACAGGAAGCTTTGGGGTTCAGGGCCCATAGCAGCAGGGGAAAGCCACCGCCTCTCAAAAAAAAGAACACACGCACACACACACACACACACAAAACCACTTTTCTTTGTAGAAAATGAGATTAAAAAAAAAACTTCTGTACACCATAAAATGCCTGTAAATTCACCTCTCTGGAAACACAATCTCAGGCAGATCAAGCCCCAGGTGGTGGAGACAAATGGCTGGCTGGCTGTCAGAGACAATCTTTAGTTTCTAGAGGAGGTAGATGAGTACTAGGCATGATTACTCAGATTGTGGCTTGTTTCGGGTCAGAGAGTGAAGTACAGAGTGTGATTCGTACTGTGATAAGCCAATTTCCAAATGGCGTCTTTCACCTCACCCCTGCTCGCTTTGGATTTGACATTGGTTACCCTGTCCAAACCACCTCCCTACATACACGCACACACACACACACTCACACACACACACACTCCACCTCCTCCTCCAGGTCACTTGTGAAAGGAGAAACGAATTCCAAAGCTGTCAATTCAGGAGCAGTGCATGGAGGGAACCGTTCTCATGCTCATGCTTTTTTAAGTGGATAGAAGATGCCACTGCTGAGTTTCCTTGCATTCCCCTGACCTAGATTGTGTGCATGCCCGCCCCCTCACTCCCCCCAGCATACACAGACCCACACCCATCCTCAGCAAAGCCAAGAGCCATTTGATGTTAGAAAGTTTTCTGTTCTCAGCAATTCTCTAGCTCAAATATGGGACACGCTTTTACTGCTACAGAACAAATGATTGCAGAGCAAACATTCATGTACAGTGCTTGTGAGAATTCCAAACCCTTCCATGTCTTTCAGGACTGGAGTCCTCACTTTTTTTTAAAAGAATGTATACCAGCCTGGTGGTGGTGGCACACTCCTTTAATCCTAGGAATCAGGAGGCAGAGACAGGCAGATCTCTGTGAGTTTGAGACCAGCCTGGTCTACAGAGCAAGTTTCAGGGCAGTCAGGGCTACACAGAAAAACTCTGTCTTGAAACAAACAAACAAAAACAAAATAGCAACAAAAGAGCACATACCTTCAGAAGGGTGTTTATGTGCAGGAGATCTGTCTATGTTCACCTCAGCCTTGTGGGGCTCAAGTGGGTTGTTATTACCCCCCCCCCACTTTTCAAATGGCTGATTGGTTTGTCCTGTGTCACACAGAACTCAAGCTAAAAACCAGGTTTTCTTGTTCCAAACCTGAAAGCACTATCCCATTTCTTCCCTCTTAACAGGGATGTTAAAAGTAATGCCAGGCATGATGGTGCACACTTTTTAATCCCAGCTCTTGGGAGGCAAATGCAAGCTGACCTCTGTGAGTTCAAGACCAGCCTGGTCTCCATAGTAAACCCCAGGGCGCCCAGAGTGAGGCTGTGTCTCAAAAGAGGAAAATAAAATAAGTAGAACCTAGGCCTGAGGGTGGTGGAGAGTTTACCTAGCATGCAGGGAGCCCTGGAGACTGTTCCCAGAACAGCATAAGCATATGGTGTGGTGGTATTTGACTGTAATCTCAGAACTCCAAGGATAGAGGCAGGAAGATTAGGAATTCATGACCAGCTTCAGCTACATAGGGATTTGGAGGCCAGCCTAGGCTATATGAAACCCTGTCAACGGAAGAAAGGAAAGAAGGATTGGCTTTTGCCCTGGGAGAGAGAAATCCAAGGTCCCCAGGACTTCTACTCCTACCCCTTCTGGATGACTCTTGGAAACCCCAGTCACCAGTTCCTGGCTGTCTCCTTTGTCCAACATCCCCAGCCCACTGAGCTTTTCTTCTCAGTTGAAGAATTCAGCCAGAATTCACCCGCTACAAGCTGAAGCCCACGAGTCCCTCCTGCCCCTCCTTCTCCTCTCTATTTCAGTAAAGACATCAACACCCACTCAGTCTCCTAAGCTAGAAATCCAAAATTTTCCCAGAATCCCTTTCTCCCTCAGCTACCCCAATTTGTTACAAAATCATGCCTGATTTTGCTTCCTCGAATCCTCTGAAATAGGTCCTTGCCTCTTCTTAGCTCAGACCCCATTATCCCTGACCTGTTGGGTGACACCCATCTTCCTTATGTTCCTCCCGTGGTTTTACCTCACCCCCAGCTTGTCTTCAAAGCTCCTTCTAAACTCTCATTCTTACTGTCATTTCCTGGCTTAAAATCTTTTGGCGGTTCTCAATAAATCTGAAAATAAAACTCCAGAATCTTCAACCCCGGGGCCCCAAGGCCCTGTACTTCTAACTTCCCCAGCTAAACCCCAGCTAGAATGAAGCCCTTGAACTCCAAGGATGCACCACAGAGTCATGGCATTGTCTGGAGAGGTCTCCAGGTAGTTTTTCCTTCTGCTCTCTCTCCCCACCCTCTGCCTAGGCCCCAGCATCTCCACCCATGAAAGCATCGCATCTTCAGCTACCAGAAAGAGAAACAGCTACTTAAGCAATAGCAAAGAGTTCATATTCCTCCAAGCCCAGAAATGGGGGAGGGGTTGTTGGAAAGAGATTCCAGGGACGCCGTCACAGGTTTCCCAGTCTCTTATGTGGGCCACCTTTGGGTAGAGTCATTGTTACAATCGAGGCCCACATTGTTTAGAAACATTCTCAGTGGAGACAGCAAATACTCTCGAGGGTGTCTCGTTTTTTTCTGAAATCAATGGGTCCACGTGCAGTCATGTCTGCTGAGTAATAAGAAGAACCAATGCTGGTGACCACATATGGGTCGTAGCTGAGGAGGGTCACGTAGTAACGAAACAGAACTCCTGGTTCTGTTTAGGATCTGACTCTAAGTTTATAGATAACATCCCCAAAGTGTCTCTGGAGAGTGACACCCTTCCACTCAAGTTCTCCAACCGGCAGAAATCCTCCTGCGTCACCATCCTGAGTGTTGAGATGACATGTACAAGACACCAGACCTGTACTGTCATCCCAAGCAGTTTGAACCCTACCCAACCATTTTCAAAGTTCAAAATGGAATATAAACATTATAGTTTAGAAAGCTGGTCTTGCTAAAGTATCTGAGTTATAATCTCTGTGTTTAAAAATAAATATGTGGTCAGGCATAGTGGCCTACCTCTATAATCCATTACTTGGAAGGTAGGAGCAGGAAGATGAAGAGTTCAAAGCTGCTCTTCATGGTTAGTGCCAAGCCAGCTTGAGACCATGTGAGCTTGTCTCAAAATAAATTAACTAACACATTAAAGGCTGATGAGACAGCTCGGTAAGTGACTTTGACCCCTGGGACCCACAACCACCAAAAGTTGTCCTTGGACCTCCACTAGACATGTCTGTCCACGTGTGCACGCACATAAATAAATAAATGTAAAAACCTAAAATTGTAAGAAGGGATTCAGGGCATTGTCTGAGTGCTAGGTCTGAGTTGAGAAGGGGTGACATGAGCAGGTGACCTGAGTGGAGAGAAATAATGGTGTAAAAAGAAGCCGAACACCAGAGAGTTAAATTGTGTGCTCCCTTCTTCCCCACCAAGCCCTGGAGCTCATGGTCCATCCTCGGGCTCATTTCCTCTTTGCCCTACAGTCCTTCCTGCTGCGTGGTGTCCTCTCATCAGAGTCATTGTCCTCTGTTCTTTCCCCTAGATACTAAGCAATCAGGAGGAGTGGCTCAAGGCGGAGCTCGGAAGCCAAGAAGGATATGTGCCTAAGAATTTTATAGATATTGAGTTTCCTGAGTAAGTATTTCCAGCCTGCCAAGATGGGTCTACCCACACACGCTCCCCTTACTTTTTCAGTCATCACTAAAATTATCCATGCATACCCAAGGAACTGTCAGAAATGGCTGCCTCTGGAGATCTCCCTCCCAGCCTCCAGAACCTCACAGCGGAAGGCCAGGGTGGGAGGAAGATTCATTTGCACGGCATTACATTCCCTTCTGAAGTTTACACCATGTGCATGGATCACCTATTTAATTTTTTTATATATAAAAATGAGCTTGTAAGTTAAAATCACCTATAATGAATGCAGTTGCAGAATCTCCAAGAATTCCAAAGGGGGCGCTGTTGGACATCCCATTTCAAAAGCCATCCCTGCACAGCTCTTCTCCACCGCTGCCTGACATTGTGTTCCTCCCTAAGCAGGGATCCCAAACGGTCTCTACTTGCTCAACGTAGTCAGGGAGGGGGAAGGGAAATTCCCTCTAGAAAGAGGAAGTGAAATACTGAGATTGGGCTGTTTTTGTCTCAAGAATTGACCACAAGGGTTAGATAGAAATCTAATCTTGTCTCAGAGCCAGGGTCGAGCCCCAAGAGTATAGGCTTTAAAAAAAAACCAAAAGGTTGACCACCGACCCCCAATGGACCCGTAGTGCTGCTGTACTCTGCTAGGTGACCACCTCATGCTAGGTGACTGCCCCTCCTACCTCTCAGCTCTCTGTCCTCCCAGGCGTCTGGGGGGCCAGGGAAAGCACCAGAAGAGAAGCCTCTCGATTGCCTCCCCCACCCTCTGGCCACTTCCACTGGACCAGCGCCCCCTGCAGCCACATTCAGACACAGCTGTCAGTGCCTCCGCAGACGGCCCCTCCCCCCATCTATTTTCTGTCCTTCTGTTGGAGCACTCACTCCTGTCCGCTAACGGACTTGCGGCAATCATACACATCCTTGGCCAGATAAACGCCTGAGAAACAAAACCAAGAAACTGCCGGTTCCAACTCCTTCCAGTTTCCCTTTCATTTCTTCACAAGTGTTTGTGTTCCCTATTTCCAACCCCACCGGCTCATTCCCTGAGGAGCCCCCAGGACTACTGTCAACAAGGTCCCAGCCAGCTACAGATTGCCGCAGCACCTTCTCAGCCATCATCTCGGCGTGATAGGACCCCCTTCCCACCGGAACATGTCCTGTGACATCCACAATGCCTCTTGCTCTGGTCCCCTCCTCTTGGTCCCCAGTGCCCTAGCTGCTTCTCCTCGGTCTCCAATGCTAGGTTCTCCTCATACCTCCCCCCTCCTTCTCCAGGAAGTCTTTCTTATTACCATGTTTTTCAGTGTGTGTGTGTGTGTGTGTGTGTGTGTGTGTGTGTGTGTGTGTGTGTGTGTGATTATGGATGCATGCAGAGGCCAGAGGACAACCTCATGTGTCACCTGTAGGATTATCACCCACCTCCTTTGAGACAGGTTCTCTCTCTGGCCTGGTACAAGCCAATTAGGTTAGGCTGGCTAGCCTGTGAGCCCCAGGGATCTTCCTGTGTTGGCCTCCCCAGTCCTGAAATTACGGGGCTTTGACATGGATGCTGGGGACCAAACTCAGGCTGTCCTTGCTTTCAAAGCAAGTACTTTGCTGACAGAGCCTTGTCCCCTGACTTCCCAACCCAGAATTGTGTCCACATTGCTTCCATTTTCTCTCCTGGCTCACAATCCGCCAGCATGCCATTTTGATTATTCTGTTGTTTATCCTGTGTCTCCTGAGCCACCTAGAATGTCACTTCCCTGAGCGTTAAGTGGCTTGTCTCTTCTGTTCACCACTATTTTCTTAGAACCAAGAAAATGGTCCCATGAGTTCAGAGATGGTCAATTGAAAGCTCTCAGATCCAGCCAAGGTGGGAGCCATTTGTAATCCCAGCACTTGGAGTCAGAGGAAGGAAAATCAGAAGTTCAAGGCCAGCCTCTAATATATAGCAAGTTTGAAGTCAGTCTGGGCTACACGAAACCCTGTCTCAAAAACAAAGCAAAACAAACAAGTGTTCTGGGCACTCGGGAGGCAGAGTCAGGCAGAGCTCCGTGAGTTTGAAGCCAGCTTAGTCTACACAGTGAATTCCAGGATATCCAGGGTTGTATAGAGATACACTATTAATTAACTAATTCAAACAAGAATATCAAATAAGTGAAAGAGCTTTTGAATAAAAAGGAATTTTGAAACTCTGACCTCCTGTGTCTGATACAAAATGTATGGAAAATTTTGGAAGCCTTTAAAAAAAAATCTCATGCTCAAGTCTAGCTAGAGAGCATAGCTTTTAAAAATGTCCCCACCTGCGTGTTGCCTCTGGTAAACACTTCCTTTGCTCTATGGCCGCTGTGGCCACACAGCACTCCTACTCCTGTTGGGTTTTCCACCCGTGGCAATCAATCATTCACCCCGAAAGAGGTATAAGACACTAGAAAACCCAGGCTCCAGGTCCTCTGGCCACCACCAGGTCTGCCCAGGTCTGGAGTAGGAGTGTCCTCCTGTTACCTGAGTCTGGAGTGGAGCATCTCAGATTCTAGAAAGCACAAAGGAGTCGGAAGCTGGGGCCCACCATGCATCTGCCCTAAAGGGACTTGGACACTAAATAGACTCTGATGGCGGCAATTAGAACAAAGCCACCTAGAAGCAATGTGATAGGGTCCCGCCTCTGCCAGCTATGACAGAAACCTTGTTCTAGGCTGGAAAGGAGGTTGGGGTCTCCTACCAGAAGCTGCAGCCACAGTTACTCATACCTGGTGTGTGTGATTGTTTTTTCTGACATTCCAGCCACTACCACCCTGACTGTGCTCTGGGAGATTTGGTTTCTCTTCCATTTCTGTTTCCTCGGACTGTCCTGAACGCTCCTGGGGAGAATGTGCCCTGACGCTGACATCTCAGGAAAGGATGGGGGCCCAGGCCTTGTCTACCATCTTGGCCAGGACCCTGCCTCCATGCCCACAGCAGCCCTTTTCCGCCCCATACATTCTCTCCTCTGCTGTCCTTTCCTGGTGGCAGGTGGCTGCATCCCGCTGGGAATCACTCCCACATAGCCCTGTTTTGGTGCAGCAGCAGACTTCTGGGATTCAAGTTTCGCAAGCTAGAGAGAAATTTCTGGTGGGAAGGAACTAGGAGAGCAAGTCTAGAGGAGTGGTCGGTTGCTTCCCTGAAAACTGACGGGTGACATCACTTGGTTTTAGAATGCGTACCCCAAACTCCGACTCAGGGCCCCTGGCCTCCTCCCTCGAGTTGCCTCTTTTCCTCGTCCCTTCTCCCTCCCTCCCACCATCATCTGACTGAAAGAACTCTCTTGCCCTCTTGCTATATAGGTGGTTCCATGAAGGCCTCTCTCGACATCAAGCAGAGAACCTACTCATGGGCAAGGAAATTGGGTTCTTCATCATCAGGGCCAGCCAGAGCTCCCCAGGAGACTTCTCCATCTCTGTCAGGTACCGGCTACTCCCAAACCCACCTTGACCCTTCCTTCCTACCACTGCCGAAACTGGAAGGTTCCCCAGTGATCAGAAGCATGGTGACATCTCTCTAACTATGCTACTATTTCCTCCCAAGAACATGTGTCTTCAACTTCTCCATACATTGATTTCTGTTCAAAATGATGTGTGTAGTGGTGGTGCACACCTTTAATCGCAACACTTGGAAGCAGAGGCAAGTGAATCTCTGCAAGTTCAAGGCCAGCCTGGTCTACATAGTGAGTTCCAGGACAGCCTGGGCTACATAGTAAGAACCAGTTGGAGAAAAAAAAATCGTGTACTTATCTGCTTCCCTGTCTAACCCAGATATCTCTGGAAAGCAAGTTAATCTGTTTCATATTTGTGCTCTGAACATCCTGTAGGAGTATCTGTGGAAGGAGGGGAGGGAGAAGGAAAGGAAACTCCCACTTAACTGTATCTGTATGGAAGTTTAAACCTTAACCTTTGCTGTTCTGCCAATAGAGGGCTGAAGAGAGGCTAGAGACAAGCAGAAATCCCACATCACTGCTGAAGGAAGCTGCTGGACATAGTCAGGCTGCTTCCACCCAAGGAGAGCAGGGTAGAGTTGAGGGAGGTCCCTGGTTAAGGGGATCAGAAGGAACTTTGACACTGTAACTCTTGCTCTGCATCTTCCAGGAAGTGACTCAGTCCAGACAGGGACATGACACAGACCTAAACTGAGAAACCCCAGATCTGAATACAGTACGTGTGGTCAGCATGTCAAAGACTGCAAGTCAGACTTGGTGACCGCATAACTAAAGTACATGAAATGCAGCTCCTAGCAGAGGAGGAGGAGGCCAGAGCCTACACAGACACACCTCCTGCCTGGTGATTTGACAGGCAGGGCTGCCCCGCATTTGGTGATACATTTCAAAAGGTGTGAGGCTTTATTGCTTCCTCTGCAGAAATCTAATCCCTCTTGATAAACCGTAGCTGCTTTGTTATTTAGAAAGAAAAGGTCTTTAAAAACGTAGGTAGGAAGGACTAATAAATGATGGGCCAGCCATCTATAGGCACGTGTACTTCAAGCATGCTTGCAATTACCTGGGTCTCCTTAACATCACCAACCTTGACATCTTGCTAAAACATAAAAAACATATTTATTTAGTGTATGTGCATGTGCACGTATGTAGTGACTGAGGGGTTTATATGCATATGTGGAAGTCAGAAGTTTGGGGGGTTGAGGATCTCCTCCCATGTGGGTCCCAGGGACTGAACTCAGGGCATCAAACTTGATGGCAGGCATTTTTACCTGCTGTCTTAGTCACTGTTCTATTGCTGTGGAGAGACATCATGACCAAGGCAACTCTTATAAAGGAAAGCATTTAACTGGGGGCTGTGCTTGCAGTTTCAGAAGTTTAGTCCATTATCATCATGGCAGAAAGCATGGCAGCATGCAGGCATACATGGTGCTGGGGCAGTAGTTGAAAGCTACATCCTGATCTACAGGCAGAGAGAAAGAGAGACACTGGGCTTGGCATGGGCTTTTGAAACCTCAAAGCCTACCTCCAGACACACTTCCTCCGACAAGGCCATACCTCCTAATCCTATCAAATAGTGCCACCCACTGATGACCAAGCATTCATATATACGTGAGCCTGTGGGGACCACACTTATTCAGTCCACCACACCCACTGGGCCATGTCACTAGCTCTATACTCTGAATTCTCCTTAACTGAAACTTCTTCATATCTTGGGCAATCATAAATATTAGCTCAAACCAATATTATTTAATCTCAAATTCTAAGCTCAATGGATCTTCATTAATGAAATTTTGCCCTGTTAATAAACCTTATTAATCAAACCTACTTTATTTTTATTTTTTTCCTTTTTCTATAAAATTATGTATGTGCTGGTAGATGTTTTGTCAAGCAGCAACATGGTGCCCATTGTGACTGCTGAGAGGAACTGAGTGAATAGTTATTATACATAAGAAATACTTCTTCCCCTATGAGTTGAGAGACCAGCTCTTGAAGGAAAGCCATTATTAGTGCCCAGACTCTGGGGGAAGACCAGCAGTGATAGCCACGTGTCCGTTTCCACCCCAAATCAGTGGGTCAAGAAGTGACTGTACTACCTTTGGCTTCCCTTGGCTATGAGCAGAACCCAAATAAAAGATGAGAATAAAGGCCCAGAATTCCTGTTCCCCTCAAATGTAGACCCCTAAATCCACCCCTAAGAAGCCTCCACTAACCTTTAGATGAATCTCTACTCTCCAAAGCACTGTAACTCTTGACTTTTCTGCTGGAACCAGCCATTGGTAGCACTAATACACCTGCAACATGCAGGTCTGTTTGGGGAAAAAAACCCACCTTTATTTTATTTTTGTTGTTGTTGTAGTTGTTGTTTTGTTTTTGAGACAGAGTCTCTCTGTGTAGCCCTGGCTGTCCTGGAACTCACTCCATAGACCAGGCTGGCCTTGAACTCACAGAGATCCACCTGCCTCTGCCTCCTGAGTGCTGGGATTAAAGGCGTGTGCACCACCACCATAACCAAAACTTTATAACCAAGAAGGATGGCTTGACTGTGGAGTAAGACAAGAGCTGATGGTAAAACCTCCCCGTTTGTTTGCAGATGGCTAAAATCCAGTTTCTGCAAACCCAGTACAGATGTGCCTAGCCACCTGATCCAGAATGGTAGCCAAAGGCACTGATCTAAAAGCAATGAGCATGCTCATCCAGCCTAGCTGGAATCACACAGGGCGGGCATTCTTCCTCAGGTTTGCCGCTCATTCACACTGACCTTGACCAAGACCTTGGGCCTCTCTCAGTAACAGCATCCTTACCCGTAAAACTATCTCCAAGGTCTGTTCCAGTTAAAATCTGCAACTCCGTATAATGTATTTCCTCCCAAAGTACATTTTATACTATTATTTATATAAATCATAAGCTCAGACTAGATCAAGACCAGATGGGTCAAGACATTTCTGATATCATGAAAACAGCATGATATATATATATATATATATATATATATATATATATATATATATAACACCTCAGCTGCTAGTTCATAGCAGAGGACAGATTCTGATGTTGCCTTGCTTCATATAAACATTATGAAAGGTCCTTTATTGCTTAGACCTTACTGGGGATGGGTCTGGAGAGATGGCTCAGTGGTTAAGAGCATAGTACCCTCACAAAGGATCCAAGTTCAGTTCCCAGCACTCCCATCAGGAGGCTTACAATCACCTGTAACTCCAGCTTCAGGAAATCCAGTTGCTGGCTTCCACAGGCACCTGAACTCACATGGCATTTACTCACACAAAGATACACATCATTAAAAATAAAATAAAACAGATGTTTGGAACATTTTTCTTTTCTTGTCCAACCTTTTTACATTTATTTGTTTGTTTGTTTGGTGTGTGTGTGTGTGTGTGTGTGTGTGTGTGTGTGTGTGTGTGTACACAACTTAGGGGAGTTGGTTCTTTCCTTGCAATGCTTTTTTGGGGGATCAAACTGAGATCCTTAGGCTTGACAGTGAATTCCTTTAACCTGCTGAGCCATCTCACCAGCCCCACTTTCTCCTTTTAAATGTTTGTCCATCACCCAAGACAGATCCCAGCTCGTCTTGATCGCCTTCTGTTGACGGTCCCTCCCACAGACTAGAGCTTGGTTCAGGTTGCCCAAATCTATCTCTCCTGCTGCTGTAGAATGAACAGCTATTCTATGGCACAACATAGCAATGGTCCTCTTGAGCTTTCAACAGCTATGATCACCCACACGAGACCTACACAAGATGGATCTGATAATGTTCCAATATGGAATGGGGAGGGGATCACAAGGCCCATCCATCCCTGAGGATACGGATGCAGTTAATAGTGGCTGGAGAAAAGAGGCATTCTCTTCAGGGACACAGCTGCTTCTCTGTTGTCCACGGTACCATAAGCAGCCGTCATTAGCCTCACTGGTTTACCAAAGTAGACTAGAGTGTAATCTTTACTCTGTTCTGTCATTGGTGCCCTATCTGGGTGAAACAGATGTTTGTTTATGTCACCCCCTACCCCCAAGAAATGTTCATACAGTCACTCGGCAGTGGCGCATACCTTTAATCCCAGCACTCGAGAGGCAGAGGCAGGTGGATCTCTGTGAGTTTGAGGACAGCCTGGTCTACAGGGCAAGTTCCAGGACAGCCAGGGCTGTTACACAGAGAAACCCTGTTTCAAAAAAAGAAAACAAAAAGAAAAGAAATGTTCATACAATGCCTACTCAAGCAAAACTTCACCATCTCTGAGTACAAAAAACCACCCAGCAGGGACATGGTCTCCATTGAGTTTTCTTGATCCCTAGGCATGAGGATGATGTTCAGCACTTCAAAGTCATGCGAGACAACAAGGGCAATTACTTCCTATGGACTGAGAAGTTCCCATCCTTGAACAAGCTGGTGGACTACTACAGGACAACTTCCATCTCCAAACAGAAGCAGATCTTCCTTCGGGATGGAACCAGAGAGGATCAGGTATGCCTCATGTCCAGATAAACTCCAGGACAGGGATTTCAACAGCCTGAATTCCTGTGTCAGCCATCCCCCTAAAAAATGGTATTCTGATCCAAAGTCAGATCTCAAGTGTAATCCAAGCTGAACCAAGCTGAACCAAGCTGAACACTTCCTATTTGTGTGGCTTTGGAAGGCTCTCAGATTCTGTCTCTTCATCCCTTAACACAGCATAAAAAGTGGCTTGTGAGTGTAAGATAATCTAATGTTCCCTGATCTTTCCCATCACTCCTAATCACACTGCAAATGTATTATAAATGTTAGCACACTCACATTGAAAATGCTATTGTTCGGTTATTTGTGGATCTTACATCATTGCTTTCAGCCCATCTCAGGAGCTACTCAAGGGTCAGGGTGACAGACAGCAGTACTAGAGAGTGGCCTAGGGGCCAGGACTAAAGCACCAGACAGTTTCCTGACAGCCTCAGGGAGTACAGGGACTGCATGGCTTTAATCCTGCTTCATTGCTACCTACCCACGTCACCTAGTCAAGCTCAGAACTCTTTCCAAGCTCTGCAGATGTGGCTCGAGTTAAGCATACTTGCCTCATTTCTAGGGACCTCACAATCACTAACTCTTCAGGCCTCCTAGGGCACCTGCACACACGTGGCATACCTATACACAGGCATATACCCCTAATAAAATGCCTTTTTTTTCAAAGAGCATTTTATGAGCCTGGGTATGGTAACACATGACTGTACCCAAGTACTTGGGAGGTAGAAGCAGGAGGATTGCAAGTTTGAAGCCAGCCTGGACTACACACCAAGTGCCAGAACAGCTAGAGCAAGCAAGACACTATCCTCCCAACAATCAACGTATAAACAAGAAAAGATGCTTTCTGGATATGTGTTTCCTTATCTTAGCGTGGAAAGCACAATAGCTGCTCCCTCCCTGGGTCTTTGTGAAGACTGAGTGTGGCGCAGTCACAGTCCCTGCCTCGGAATCTGGTCTGTAGCAGGCAAGCACAAAAAAAGTGGTCCTCAGCCTCCTGCACGGGCATCACACACATGCGTGCACATGTGTGCACATACAAAGTGCAAACTGTATCTCAGGGAAAAGAACATGGTTGTAAGAGATAGATGTAATAACCGGGTGGTGGTGGTGCACGCCTTTAGTCCCAGGACACAGGAGGCAGAGGCAGGCCCATCTCTGTGAGTTCAAGGCCGGCCTGGTCTACAGAGTGAGTTCCAGGACAGCCAGGGCTGTCTTGAAACCCTGTCTTAAGGGGGGGGGGTGTGATGAAGAAGCATTCACTAGCATAGCTGGAACCCCAGGGGCAGATGATTGAAAAGGACACATGTGCTTTGGGGAAGTCAACCTCTCCTTCTAAGCCACCAGCTGTTTTCAAGGCTGGGACGCTGCAGTCATCAGAGAGGAGGGTGTTCCCACTCAGAGCACACAGAAGTTCAGAAAACAAAGGTCAACTGAGATCTTGAGGATTATTTTAACCAGGAAATGGACAGAAGTGTTAACTCACTAGGATCCAGGGCTCAGAGATAAGAGAGGCAGTATAAAGTTTTTGTTAAACTGGATTAAATGAGTTAATATTTGTACAGTACTAGTATACACTGAGTCCAAGTGTCTATGTAATTGTTTGTTAAATGAAAAAAAAGCCAACACAATAAAGTGTTTCTGATTCATGAGCTGTTGCCATATGAAGCAGAAAGGCCTTGGTCCTTCCTGGTACATGGGATACCAGGCCTGCCCTCCATGGCTCTGCCAGAATGCTGTCACCAGGCTGTAAATGACAGCTCCAGATGACACAACGTCAAAAGCAGAGCTATCTGGAGGGCAGCGCATCCAGCAGTTTGGCAACATGTGGATTGTTTATCTTGTGGATAAATAACTGAGCCACAGATCTCCATTGGCCTTTTTTTTTTCTGCACCTCCGTGTGCTCTGGGTGGGAACACCCTCCTCTCTGATGACTGTATCGTCCCAGCCTTGAAAACAGCTGGTGGCTTGGAAGGAAGGGTTGACTTCCCTAAAAGCACACAGATCCTTTCAAATCACCTGTCCCTTTCTGCCTGTAAAATAGAATATGTAAGCCTGATTACAGAAAGAATAACAGTCCCAGTAGGAACAGATTGCGTGGAGACCACATGGAAATAGTTATATTGTCAGAGGCCTGAACTCACAAACTAGGGAAGACTTGAGCATGCAGAGACCACTTTTGATAACATGGAGGTCCAAATCTTAGATTCCCTACCGCCACCACACAGTTACTGCCAGAAGAGGGACAGGAACAGGGACGTCTAGGGGAAGGATGAATCTGGAGCCCCTGTTTTCTTTCTCAGAGTCACCGGGGCAACAGCCTGGACAGGAAGTTCCAGGGAAGCCCTCAACCAAGTGGCAATGTAGGAGAAGAAACCCGACCTTTGATGAACCGGAAGCTGTCAGATAACCCTCCCACCCGTCCCCAACAGTACCACCAGCACCAGCAGCCACCTCCTCCGTTCCCACCAGGGCCACAGCACCCTCCACAGCGGTATCTGCAGCACCACCATTTTCACCAGGTATCTGCAGAGAAGGAAGGGACAGGGCAAGGAGGAAAACAGGACCTGCCTGCCCCATGGCCCAGGCCTGGACCAGCCTCCTGAAAGATCTGGGCCCCAAACCATACAACTCCCAGACTGAACACACACACACACACACACACACACACACACACACACACACACACACACACACCCCACCCTGAAGACTAATTCCCCTGTCAGTGGAATTCCAGTTCTTGCCCCTTAACCCATAAAAAGAAAAACGGATTAACACCTGCAACAGCATTGTCTATCTAGCCCTGCCTGTTCAGATGTGACTGCAGCTGGCTCATGGAGATGGACAATACAATAAGACAGCATTGGTCCTACATGCCTCCACAGAGCACGGAGTCCTTTGTGAGCTGCCTGTATCTACCTCCCCAGGTCCATACCCTGCTACCAACCCCCACTACCATGCCAACACATAATCCAGGAACCGGCACCACATTTCTCTCTTTTTGGCTCTTTATAAGCTATTCTGTCTGCCTGGTGGATCTTTCATGGTCAGTCTCGCTCCTCCTTCAAGCTGGAACCCAGGCATCACCTCTTCCAGACTCCTTCCCTGATCTACCCAGGCATGTGTGGGTACTTTTCCATCCGTTCACTTAGCACATTGCTAAATATGATTCTTCTTCTAAACTAGTAAAAGTTTCTGATTTTTTTTAACGAGGAAAAGAACCATACAAACTAGGTGTACTACAACCCCAACATTTGGAAGATTGAGGCAGGTGGATTAAGTGCCCAACTCTAGCCTGGGCTACGTAGTGAATTCAAAGTCAGTGTGAGTTACAAAGCAAGACCTTGTCTCAAGAGTAAAAGAAAAAGGGGGGGATGGCTTAAGGAGTAAAGTGTTTGCTAGGCAAACAAGAGGCCTGAAGTCAGATTCCCGCCCCCCACATAAATGCCAGCACATCTTTAACCTCACTGCTGAAGGGAGTGGGTAGAAACAGCATATCCCAGAGCTCATTGGTCTGTCAGTCTAGCTGAATCAGTGAGTCCCAGAGTCAGTAATGCCCCTTCCAGTGGATAGAGAGTGACAGAGGAAGATGCCCAATGTCAACCTCAGGCCTCTACACTCACACACATATACACACACACATGATGATGACGATTGATTTCATCCCCGAGGCATGGGTACAAGACTCCCCCAAATAACTCCTACTTAATTGGATAAAGGAAGCCCATCATCTTTGCCTTTATAAGCTCCCTTCAGATTACCTCCTGTCCATTTTCCAAGACGAGGGGTGATGGTCAGTGAGTTAGCCCTTGGGTATCAGTTCTGTAGACAGCACCCAAGCAAGGCAAATGGCTGGGGCAGGCTGAGAGAAATGAGCCCTGCTGGTAATGTAACAGCCCTCTGTTACACGTCTCTAGGACCGCCGTGGAGGCAGCCTGGACATAAATGACGGACATTGTGGCATTGGCGGTGAGATGAATGCCACCGTGATGCACCGGAGACACACAGACCCTGTGCAACTCCAGGTGGCAGGGGTGAGTGAGCAGAGAGCGCAAGGCAGCCTCTCTGGAAAGAGTTCAGCCTGGCTCATCCAGTCTGCTATTTTCAGTCTGACTGTTGAGCTTTGCCCTGTTCTCACTCTTCTGGCAGTGGGAAATGGGTGAGCTTTGTCCCTGTGACCCAGTGCATTTGGCCTCAGGACAGGCTCAGTGGTAGGACGCTTGCCTAACATATGTGAGGTTCCAGGTTCCACATAAGCAAACCAAGACCATATCAAGAACAAAGCTGCTGAGTGTCCCAGTACCTTAGTGCTCAGGGCTGAGCATACCAGGACTGCTTTAAATTACTTTGAGACCAGCCTTTTGGAAGAGCCCAGGGGACTCAGGATAGATCTAGAAACTCATGGTTTCCCTGAGTGACAGTTGCTCTGAAGACCAGCCTACTGAGAGCTCATCGGCCTGTCTCTTGTTTTCTCTCTAGCGAGTGCGCTGGGCCCGGGCACTGTATGACTTTGAGGCTCTGGAGGAGGATGAGCTGGGATTCCGAAGCGGAGAGGTGGTTGAAGTCCTGGACAGCTCCAACCCATCCTGGTGGACCGGCCGTCTACACAACAAACTGGGTCTCTTCCCTGCCAACTATGTGGCTCCCATGACGCGATGAGCACTGCCAGGGGGCCAGAGGCTTTTTGTCTGAAGTTGCCTGCAAGATAGAGACAAGGGGAAAAAGCTGGACTTTATAACTACACATGCATGCATGCAATGTACATGTGTGCCCGTGTGTACACAAAACATGTATATGTATGTGTGCCTGTGTCTACACACAGCATTTTATAATAGTAATTTATTGGCAGCTGGGTTGGGCTGGTTCATTGACAGGCATGAGAAGGAACTCTGAAGAGGGGGGCTCTTCTCTGTAAGAGGGCAGTAGGGAGCTGAGGGGGGCAGGGAAATGGACTTCTCTCCATCCTTGAACTTTCACGGCTTCTTTCCTGGCTTGGGACTTTCACAAGAGAGCAAGAAACTAAGCAGAGGTCACACCCCAGCGATGGACGCACAGGACGGGGCTGGGCTTGGCGAGGCATGTTTAAGTAGCTCACTTGGCCCTGTCCACCTACAGGGTAGCTTCCCTCCTGTTCTCCACAGGGCAGGCACTGCACCCTGAGAATTAAGGTGTAGCAGATCCAGGGCCACAGGCACCAAGCAAGTCTGAGCTGGTAATTTGGCAAGGGCGTGGTCAAGATTCTCAGCTTGGTGTGGGAGAGTACTTCAAGCCTCAGGCCTAGGCAATGCCCGGCTAAAACTTTTACTTTCCACCAGTGACTGTCCATATGGCAATCTTCTTCCCCTGTGTCTGAAAAGAGAGGGTGTTTCTAACGTGGAGATGCCACAGAGGCGAGCGCTAGGGAACACAGGGGTTCTCCACAGGCCCTTGTGGCTTGCTTGAGTATAACTTCTGTTTTCCCAGCTGCAAAGAAAGCTGTAGCCTAGATTCTGTGAGGTGCCTGGTGAAGCCCTGGCTGGGAATGTGGGGTGTGTCAGCAGGCTCATTTTGTGGTTACAAGGGTTGTCTCTGTGGAGTGCACTTGGATTTGGCTCCTGACTTTCTGTGGTTGAGGGTATCTTTGCCAGTGGACCAGAGGGAAGCCAAGAGCATTGACTGTAGATCGATAAATAAATTGGCTGATTGACTCTAACCCTGGACAGGAGCGTCATGACAATGAGTTTCCTCTTCCGTCTGCGTGCTGGTCCTCTGCGGGCCTCCCTCTACCTAGGAGGAGGAACCCCACTGCCACCGTCCCCTTCTTCACCTCAAACTGGAATTGTGTGTCCAGGTGCCCACCCTGGGGAATAAAGCACAGAGAAGGCTGGCTGAGGGGAGGGACACTGGAGAGGAAGCCTGGGGGCAAACATGTCACAACAGAAGGCACTTACAAGGGTGTCAAGAAGTCACAAGTACATGCGTTCTGAGATAGGAAAAAAAAGCGCTGGGGTGACAGCCATGGTGAGAGTAGGTGTTGAGGGGCCCTGTCCCCTGCTTGAGGGCGGGACTGGAGGGCATCTGCTACTGAAGGCAATAAAAGAACAGTCTGACTCACAAGTCACTGCAGTGTGGCATACACTATGTCCCCTGTGACTCTGATTCAGCAATCCTCTGGTCCCCAGGTTCCCTTTAGGGAAAGAGAGGAAGAGGGAAGAGACAATAGACAGGAAGCAGCAGGCACGGGGATCAGCTGCAGCCTCGGGAAGGGAAAGCAAGAGGAGGGGTCAGAAGACGGAGAGCAGATGAGTGGGGGGGGGGACGGGGGCTAGGGGGTCAAGTGGGACAGCCAGAGGAGGCTGGTGCAGAAGGGCAGCCCCTGCTGCGGTGGGCATAGGCGGCAGAGTGGGGCAGAGAGCAGAGGAGAATGGAGGCGAAGGCAAAGTGGGCTTGATCCGCAAGCTTGGTGGCGGGAGACGGGAAACACTACAGTAAATAAAAGCTGGGAGTGATGCTGCTTTTACAGTATTTGCAAACCATATGCTTTAAACAGCCCACAAACTTCATCCATTTGGCTGATTCCGTGGGAGGAGCAGCCCTGGCTGAGGCAGAGACAACTAGCTTAGTTCTGGTCTAGATACTATGCCTTGAAACACTCAACAAGAAGACAGTAACAGCTTTGCCCGTCTGTATCTGGTGTCTGTGTGGCCAGTCCTAGGAGGACGGGGTACCTACTCCCTCCCTGGGGGTGGCAGGGGTACTAGACCTGGAGAGACAAACCTCCTGAAACCCCCAGAATGGACATCCTGCTCCAGCAGCCATTGTGGGGGACGGTAACAGGACTTTTTAAAATTTCTATGATTAGCTTTATTACCAACCTACATTAAACGGGCATGAAAACCCAAGAGCCCCTCCCCAAAAAGCAAGGTGAATTAACATTTAACAAAAAGAGCCAATGCTAGGACAAGGTGGTGCATGAATTGTCCTCAAAGGAGTAAAAGAAAAAACTGAATGTTATGTGAAAAAAAAATCCCACAGGAATAGAAAAAAAGCCCATAATAGAATTATCATATAGCCTGACACTTTGGAGATTTAAAGCTACAAGTCCCAGGCCAGAAACAAAACATCCACAGCACAAAATCAGAACCCCCAAAACGTGCAAGATAGGAGAATGTGCTCCCCAGACAGATGCCAGATTTTTGCGCTGAGAGCTGAAGCATGACACACTCTCAGAATCAGGTGACTTGTCACTGTTGCTTTAATGCCTTGAAGAGAGACTGAGATTCTGCAAGGCTTCCAGTTTCAGGGAGCTCAGATTTGTTGTCTTGGGAAGACTCCAAAGGTCCTGCCCTCTTGCCCTTGCCAATCTTTTTTGCCTTTAGGAAGCAGCACTCATGGGATAGGAGCAAGAATGCTTATCCTTCTCTTTGCTCTTCGATTTAGCTGCTAACACCCTGTCACTGTGCTCCCCCGTCTTTCCCTGGGCCTCGGACAACTGCTTGTGCTTCTAATTCTTCTTGGTCTTAATGTCTATTTCTGCCAGTCTGAGACTGTTAGCCAAGTCCTGGGAAATTTTCCTCCTTAAATTGACTTCGTATCTTCTTAGCTCTTCCAACCTCTGTTCATCCAAGGAGGAGCTGATTGAGTACTGGAAACCCTCAAGGGTGTGCGTCTGGATGTCCCGCACATTATCAGGGCAACTTGAAGCATCTGGAAGCGGTGTCCGGGTGGTGCCGCATCATCAAGGAGTACAGAATGAGCCAAGTCTCAAATTGTCCCTCCTCTGTCTGGGCAGATTTGGTGGCCAGATCTCTTATAGCCTCGAGGTCTAGGTATGGCTCCTTCTTGACATGTTGTTCCAGTGGCCGTTGCTCTTTCCAAAAGGCCTCGTCGTCAGAGAACCAAGGCCTGGGGCGGGGGCAGAGAAGGCGGAGTTGCTCCCATCTCGTCATTAGCTTCAGGTGGTCTGAGAGCCGAGCGTTTTGGAGGATGTCTGGAACCAGCTCTTATAGTCCACGCTAGTCTCGAACTCAAAGAGACGCACCTGCCTTTGCAGCCCCAATGCCAGGGTTACAGGTGCGTACCACCACCTCCCAGCTAGAACATAGCTTTAAATACAGCTTAAACCCTGGTCCTAGGACCGGTAAGAGGACTTTTTATTGAGGTGCATTGCTGTGCCCATTAGCAGGGCTCAATTCAGAAGGGAACAGGGGAGTTACCCAAACCACTCAGGGAGAACAGGGACCCGTAGGACTCCAAGAAGACTAGGGTCAAAACTTCACTCAGGGCTCAAATCTCTTTGGCCCCTGCTGCTGCCTCCTGGGAGGCCGGAGAAGGGCTCGAGGAGACCTGCATCCCTCTCCCCTGTCTACTCTCCACATGCCAGCCTCTCAGAGCCAAGGAGGTGTATCTACCTAGTGCTTCTCACTGGCTGCACAGCCAGCAGCTAACACACGGTCTCTGATTTTGGCGCCACACCCTAGGTGACTTTGTGACATCTGAGCAGAGAACTTCCAGAGAAAAGCCAGTTCCTGTTGAACCAGTTGTGGTTTCCTCCCCACTTACTGGAAATTACTTCATTTCAAATATCCAGAAGCCGCCGTTGCCCACTCACTTTTAGATGGTCTCAGGGTGATTTGAGGAAACACTTCTCAAAATCTCAAGAATCTGAGCGTTGTCTAGGGACCATGTTAAAATGCGGGTTCTGACTCAGTCTTACATCTCTAACAAGCTCCCAGGTGCTTTTATCAGCAAGGGCATCAGCCACAGAAATCTAATTGGATTCTTTTTCTGGGGCTACTCAGTCACTGCTCTTTGTTGCTAACGAATAAGTCACCCTGGCTTTGGGATAGGCACGACTCATTACTGCCTGTTATGACATCATTTCTGTTCGGTGGCCCGGTGACTTATTGTTGCATCTTCATCAGGAATCAGAAAATTTCCAAGTGACAGGCATTTGGCTGGGACTTGAACAGGAATTCCCTAATAGAAACCACTTGAAACAGGAGCAGATGCTGTGGAAGGCGCAGGAGCTTTCTCAGGAAATCCTTGAAGAGAAAATCAATGTCCATCACTCTGGGCTATGGGCACGGCAGGGGCATCACTAGATCTCAACTAACAGCCCACACAGGGGACAGACTGGCTGGTCAAAATAATTGCAAGACGCTTTATCTAGTTTCAATGTGTCTATCTGTAAGACAGGAGTATGAGAAAAAATCTACCGTGGCAATTCTTTAAAACAATTTATTTTTGTTATTGTTTTTCAAGTCCTTCCACTTCATCTCCCTCCATGGTATCCTTCTGTCTCCCATAGCAACGGCAACATCCTCTGTACTTGTCACCCTGCATTCCCTCCTATCCCTGAGACACTCTCCACACTGGCACCAAGGCAGTCTTTGGACAAACAAATCCAGTCACACCACTTTTCTTTCCACTCGATCCTGCAAGATCTAGCCCCGGCAGGACCTCCTCTCTAACTTCCTCTTGTTTCCACGCCCCTTCTCCACTGTCCTTCTTTCAGCCCCCAGATGGCAAAGAACCGTTCCCAGAGTTTTCATGACTGTGGGTGCCCTGAGGAGTGCACAGCGTTTGTTTTCTGGCTGACGGCTGTTCAGATCTGGGTTTACAGGTCACTCCCTCTCAGACCCCTCTACTGAAATAATGTACCCCGTTAGATTACCTCATGAGTCCCATGTTTTTCCTGAACAGCATGCACACAGATGGGGACATTAGAGTGAGTGGTGTGACTGTTAGACTGTCTGCTCCTTGGGGCAGGGGTCATTGTGTTTTGCAGTCCCTTGTATGCCCAGCATCTCACACTGTTCTTGGTACATTGGGAGAACTGTCAATAAATATGTATCTAATGAATGATGTTGTGTTCCTCCAAGGTTCCTTCATCATGGAGGGAAACTCTTTCAGGTATAAGATGAGAAAAGTGATGTGAAACACTCTATCTTACAAGGAAACTCATTAAGACAGGAAGTAGAGGCTGGAGAGATGCCTCAGAGGCTAAGAATAACTGGCTGCTCTTCCAGAGGTCGTGAGTTCAATTCCCAGCAACCACATGGTGGCTCACAACCATATAAAATAAGATCTGATGCCCTCTTCTGGCATACATGCAAACATGCAGGTAGAACACTGTATATATAACAAATAAATAAAATTCTTTAAAAAAAAAAGACAAGAAGTAAACAACTCAAAATAACTTCAGGAAGTCCCTGAAACTGAGTAAATTAACTGGGCCCCTTTCTCCTCAATAGTATATAAGCAGTAAAGAATGCCCAGATGCTTAGAAGAGGCTCAAACAAAGCAGCCTGGGTTAAGCAAAGACCAGTCAAGCAGCCTGAAAAGAAGCAGAGACCAGTTGAACTGCCTGGAGGAGATTCAGACCAAGCGAGCCACCAGAAAGAACACTCCCCAACCTGGTGAGCTGCCTGCAGGTTGTGCAGTGAACTCTAGGTTTCTAGCTTTTTATGAGCTGTCACCCTTGCTGGGGTGGGCTTTGGTGATATAGCTGTCTGTGAGTCATCTGCTTCTGTAAGTTACCCCACCCAAACTCCTGTAGGTAACCTCAGTAAACTCATTGGTTTACCACCTTGGACCTCAGTGGCATCCATACTTTGGCCTGTCACTAGCTCCCTACCTAGGGTGAGGGGACATTTCTTCATGTCTTCCCAGGAATAGTCACACAATGATGAACAAGTTCCAGCTGCCCCA